ACATGTACACTAAAATAATGTGAAAATTTATGTAGGCATAAAATAAGTTCCTATAATTGGGTTAGTCATTTCTTTCCCAAATGAGTAATCTACAATATGCAATACAAAAAAAAAAAAAAAAAAAAAAGCCATGGAATGTTAAAGCTGAAAGTGAGCTTACAGATCTCCTGCCCAGCCCCTACCTTTATAAAGCTGCAGACCTGGGGCCCCAACAAAATGACTTACGAAGGTCACAGATCCCATTAGTAACAGAACCATACCCAGGTATCTAATCGTTATGTCTAGGGATTGTTCCCCATTATACTATCATTCTGTCTCTGCTCATATGGAAACAGTGCCCTGTAGTGCTTCCCCAGAGAAATCTCGATCTGGAGACTATTGCCTTTCATTTCCCTAGCACATAAGCATTCAAGACTCATAGACTAATAGAGTTAGATCATCTAGCTCAGGAGTTGCAACCTGATTAAATATAGGCTCTGAATGTATTTTATTTAGTTAGCACATTAAAAAAAAAAAAGAAAGTAAAGGCCGTTTGAATGGGGTGAGGCTGCTATATTGTGCCCCAATCATTCCAGCCCTATTAACCCATTTCCAACAGCTTTATACTTTTCTGTTTTCTCCTTGGCCTCTGACAGCACTTGAGCCTGTGATCCCTGAATCCGGATCAGGCATAATTAACAGCACACCAAAGGAAACCTAGTTGATGGAAATGTGAAATATGGCATTATATTCTACCATTAGCTATATTCATTGCCTCGCCAATAAAAATCCATTTCGGTTTTTTTAGGTTGACTAGTTATATCAGAGGTCTGCCAACTACTACCAGACAGACAAACCCGACCTGCTGCCTATTTTGGCATGCCTCCCTCCCCTAGCTGAGGTGAGAATGGTTTTTATGTTTTTAAACAGTTGAAAAATTCAAAAGCAGAAGAATATTTTGTGACATATGAAAAATTTTTTAAAGATTTTATTTATTTATTTGACAGAGAGAGACACAGCGAGAGAGGGAACACAAGCAGGGGGAGTGGGAGAGGGAGAAGCAGGCCCCTGGCCGAGCAGGGAACCCGATGTGGGGCTCGATCCCAGGACCCTAGGATCATGACCTGAGCCAAAGGCAGTTGCCACCATGCCTCTCTCCTAACGAAAAACATTTTTAATATTCCCTCTATCTATAAAGAAAAATCTGAAGTATTTAACAGGTCCCTGCACAATTAAGGCCTCAACCTTCCAGTCCAACCTCATCTCCCAAAACGTCCTTCCTGCAACCTATCCATTGCAGATAACTTGAATTACCTGCTGTCCCTTTACATCTTCTAGGTCATTCCTACTACATGAAATGCCTCATCCCAAATACAGTGCAACACAGTAAAGTAAGCAGGGCCTTTAGAGTCAGGTCTGGGTTCTAATTTACACTCTCGCCCTTATTTGTTGAGAAAGTTACTTAGCACCTCTGAACTTCAGTTTTCTCATCTATACAATGGGAATAATCCTTACCTCATAAGGCTGTTACAATATTTTAATGCCTGGCACTGGGAACAGTTAAACAAGCAATAAGTATGATTTCTGTCAAATACAATGCTATTTCCTCCTTTCCTTTTCCTTGCCCTCCCACCAAGAAATGAGCTCTCCTGCTGGTGTCATGTGCCCTGATATCCACCCGTTTCATTCTTATGGCTCTGATCCATATCTACTGCCTTACATGATAGTGATCTCTACCCATGTCTTTTCTCTCCTACTAATCTAGGAACTCTCTGAGGGCAGGATCCATGTATGACTAAGCCTGCCACATCTGTGACAGCCCTGAGCACAGTGGCTTGAATATAGTATGTGCACAAGTATTTACTGAATGAATGGTATGTGTTCACTGAACTATATATATCATTTATTAGGTGTATCATGTTGCCTTGTGATATAAGCAGGAGCCACATCACTTGTTCTGAATAATTCCTAGCCTGAGTGCCTAGAAAATATTCAAACACCACCAGGGACCAAAACTGTCAACATAAAAACAAAGGACAAACAGAAAAGCGGGCAATATGTTCACCTTTCAGAGTCATGGTGTTTTTATTTTCCACTAGTTTAAATTATAAGCATCATCTTGTACCCCAACAATTATAAATAAATCACATTTAAAGGGGGGAAATCAACCACTTCCCCAAGGGAGACATGTTGAGTATTGTTCATAACATCAATTACCTCTGAGTACAGATGTAAGTAAATCTAAACACTCAAAAGGGACCTATGTTTAATGACTAAATCATGACACAAAGTTGTGATTTAAACCTTCTCTGGAGCTCTGTACAAAATCAGACACAAGCAGGAAAAATGTAGAAATCCAGTTCCACCTAGGCTAGCAACTTTAACAAAAACTGCAGCTAGTTTTTGCAGCACAATGCACCAATTTTCATTGGTTCCTAGAAACACTAGCCATTTGATTTGCTAGTCAATTTAGTGAGGTAAATGGAAAGGTGTCAATCATTCTTTCTGACGTTAATGCCAGGCGCCAAATGCCAAAATGAATCCCCACACATGAATACAAAATTAATCGCTGAGACATGCCAATGTAGGGAGTGACATTTTCCAATAAGATGACAGCAAAAATTATGTTTCCAACTACTTCTGTTTATTCATTTCCCTTCAGAAACCTACTGAAAAATACACACTCACCAGCAGATACATTATTAGCCTAAAGACATATTATCAACAACTTTCTATGTTTAGCTGTTTCCATTCAAAAAGCACTTTCATAATCCATTAACTCCTTTGAGTCTCACAACAACCCTGTGAGGTGGGTATAATCACCCCTATTTAACAGATGAAGTCAGCAATCTGTGCCATCTTATCCCAAGATGGCGAAGCCACGTCTTCTAACTCCAGTTCCAGCGTTCTCTTTTCCTGTTTCCTCCACACAAAGCAAAAGCATACCTTTGCTTTGCTTCCCCACTTATTCTCAAAAAGCTAGCACACTGTGAGGAAGTAGAGTGGGAGTATAAACATTACTGTGGTTAAGACAGTGGGAAACATCCCGCCTTTGCCTCTATCTAATCATGTTTTTAGAATCATGCAACTCAAAGGAAAGAAATGGAGTGTGGGTTAGCTGCTGGGTTTTATTTCCTCCCTGCCCTATTTTGGCTTTCTATGTATATTCGGAAACAGAAAACCACCCTGAATATCAAGAAACCCCACGGGCCAAATTATTTCTTGGATCTTCCACCCATCTGCAAAGGTTTAGGCCTGCTTAACTGTTGACTCTTACCAGTCTCAGTCTCAGGAAGAAGGAAAGAGTAAGAACCACTACTTGCCCCTAGCATACAAAAATCTGCCCTTCCTCAAATGTTAATGTTAATCTCTCTGTAGCTGGTCACTTTTTAGCACAAACAATTTCAGCTTACCATACACTTCACAAAACCATTCCCTTCCTGGGGCTTATGATGAGCTACATTTGACTGTAGATACTACACCAAGCAGTTTATCATAATAAGTAAAAATTTTAAAAAATCCAAACGTTCTCCCCTTTTCCTTTCAATGAACCCTCAATCTTTCTAACTACTTTTGTGGCATAACCTGCATATCTTTAACCCCTGAATGAACTCTATTAAGTGGCAACACACCCCAAAGCCTAGCCTATATGCCTCTAAGGATCAGCATTTCAAATACCCCATCTTTAAGGTGCTGCCAAGAGTGTGCTCTTGTTTAGACCACAATACGACAAAAAAATTAAATAATCAAACTCAATCAAATGACCAGCAGGAACTTGGGCAATTGATATACTCTCACCAAAGTGGGCAGACAACACTGGCAGTGAAAGCACAGATTCCCAGGAGTAAATCAAAAGAGCTGCACAAAAATACCAGCTGGTAGCTGTTACCACCGTACCCCCAAGCCTTTCTCCCTGCTCTTCATCGGCTCCATCTGCCTTGAGAAGGTCCCCACACTGGACTCTGGACACAGTTTTTCAGGGATAAACCCATTCAGAACACAGTTATAAGCAGCCAGGACATATTTACCAGTGACTCTGACCAGTGACTTTATTTTTTGCAACCACTTTTCAGCCAAGAAGAGAAAAAATTATCACTCCACCCAATTGCTATCCTCCATTCTTCTGGGTATATATACTTTGGCACAAAGGGCTGGCTTGCCTGCACTCTTGTTGGGAATATTTATTATTCTTTCTCTTACTCCAAGCCTTCTGCCAACTAGCAGAAATAAAAACTCCACACAGTGGGGAAGGGGGGTAGGGTCCCACAGCTGCCAACTGTGACCACTGGGAAAGCCAAGCTAGATGAGGTTCCTTCAGACCACTGGCCCTGAAGTATGCTCCCTGGGGGCTGGGCTCCTTATGCCAGGTACCAGGCAGGTCTCAGTTTCACCCCCAAGCAGAATTCAGTGGCACGTGAGGCCATCCAATAATTCTGGGCTTAGACTGACTCTGACCAAAACCATAGCTCAGGACCTTAAAGGAAAAAAGTCACTGGGGCAAAGGTGCTTTCCTTAGAAAACAGGTTGATACAGGGAATTTTTTTTTTTTTTTTTTTTTTACTGCCCCGACCCTCATCCGTTAGCAACCAGAAGCCAGGACAAAACCATTACTCAAGCTGCCGGCTTCAAACCTCTCTTCTTTAGGAGGTGCTAGGACAAGTTCCTTGGTCAGCTTGAATGTCTCCTTACCCAAGCCATGAGTACTAAACATGTCCAACAGTACAGGCAAATTGTCCCTTCAGAACACCAATCTGCCAAGTAAGGATAGTTGCAGAGCAAGGGGGTCCTTGGCACAGGTACCGATCAAGTCTTACAAAGTCAAGGCCACTAAAGTTCTAGTTATAGCCACCACCTTCCACTTCAACTGACGCCGCTTCCGAAGTGTTCGGAAACCCACTCGCCTCAGAGAACTGGATTGGGAAGCACCGTGAATCCTCCCTTTCCCCTGCGGTGTGGAAGAGCTGAAAGGCCAGAGCCACTAGCTCAGGGAAACAGCTCATCCATCGAAACCTTCCACTTACTTCTCATTGCGCTGATAAGCGCGTTGCCATCTTTGATCACGTCCTTTATGAATTTATTGGTTCTCTCCAGCTCCTGCTCGTAACACTTGAGCCTCTCGCGGAAATCGGGGCTGTCCAGGTAGCAGTCGCTGAACTCCAGCGGGGGATGCCCCATGGTTCTGATGGCGAGGGCTGAAAGGAGAGAGGAAAGACACAAAGACCAAGAGCATCAGCGGCACAGCAGGGGGGAGCAGATGGGAGGAACTGAGCGCGGGACCCGCCTGGGAAACTCGTAGCCTCCCTCCCTTTGGAGGACAGGTACCTGTTCCGTGGAGATTCCTGGGCAAAGCTGGCTGGTCTGTGCCAGAAGCGGACGGCCGGCAATTGCTTCAGGTGACACAGAAAGCTAACTAACGCAGTCCGACCCCGGAGGGGTTCTGCCTAGCAAGCAGCATGCCCCCAAGGCATTGCCTCCCCTGACAGGCAGCCCAGCCTGCCTCCGGAGACCAGCGGGAGTCCTTCCTGAGCAACTGCAAACGTGACACTTCGGCCCGCCCAGGGTGGAGGCAGGGGTGGGCGCTGGGACTGGAAGCCTCCTCTCCTCGCGCCTCGTTCCCGAGCTAGCTGAAGATTTCCTTTGCCGAACTCCGCGGGCAACCCTGATTGCACTATCCCCTCCCCCTTCTTAAAGCCAGAGCTGCCGCCCCGCCCCAGCGAACCTTTGTGCCGAGCCCCAGCCCTCGGGCTCCTTCTTCGGCTGTCTTCCTCGCACCCTGGGATTGCGTGACCAGAGTGTTCTCGCTCCCAAGAGTTCTTCCTGGTCCAAGGGAGCCGGCCTGCTGTCCTGTTAGGCGTCGGAGGGGTTAAGCCCCGGCGGCAATTGAAACGTAGCCTTCCTCCCGAGACACCCGAGAGGGAAGAGGAGGGCGATATCTCTACGCACAATAGCTGCGGTAGCCTGGCGCTTGCCTACGGAAACTGGGGAGCAGTCGGCGCCCTAGGACTCCTGCTGGAAAGCGTGGCGGCCTGGGAGATGTAGTCTTTCCGTTTCTCGCCCCATGACTCCTCCCTGCGATCTCCCCACCACCCAGCCAGGGCGGAGGCTCTCCTAGCAAGACTTTCCCAGCCTGCCCCAGCCTCGCTCCCCAGGCCCAGCCTCGAGGGGCAGGTGCGCCACACTGGAGCCTAAGAGGAAAAGTTTCCGAAACGAGCGAGAGAACCCAGGAGGCGTCGGTTGTGGGAGGCCATCTCTCACTTCCCATTACTTGGCTGTCTTTTTTTTTTTTTTTCCTTACTCTCTTTCCAGCTAACCTCTGAGGGAACAACTTCCTTTTCCCTTCTCTTGCCCATTTCTCCTGATCTTAGTGTTCTAATTCCCATGGGCCCTCGACCTGGACAACCTCAAGGGTTGACTCCTACTCTAGGATCTCAGTGTTAGGCTCAGAACCCCCTGCCAAAGGAAGGGAGGCCATAATTAGGAGTTCACTTTTTCCTGACTAGGACTTAAGAGTATGGTTTTTGTGATTCAACTCATTGCATAGGTTGTTCATTAAAGCACATGATTTTCTATGTGTAAGTGGAAAACCTAAGAAGAAGATGTTATAAATTGTCTTGAAGCTTGGCTAAGAGACCTCTTGTTCATTGTCCAAGGTAGGAGAACTGGGGCTACTCTTACAGGTGGATTCCTTGAGATTAAGAGCAGCTTCGCGGTGGAAAATCGTGTGTCCGTGGGCAAAAGGATCCATTTTTATTGTGGAGAAGTGTTTAGATACGTTGCCTTGTGAAGAAAGCCAAGAAAAGCCAGAACTGAAGGGGGTTGTAAATAGGGTAATAATGGCTAACCCACCTGTATGGGTGTCCTATTTCTGCTGTAAAAAATTACCACAAACTTAGTGACTTAAAACAACATGAATTTATTATCTTAAGAGTTCTGGAAGTCAGAAATCAGAAATGGACCTCACTGGGTCAAAACCAAGATGTCAGAAGGCTGTGTTCTTTTCTGGAGGCTCCAGGGGAGAATCCACTTCCTTGCCTTTTCCAGTTTCTAAAAGCTATCCACATCCCTTGCTTCATAGCCCTCTTCCTTCATCTTCAAAGCCAGTAATGCCTGATCAAGTCTTTCTCCCACTGCATTGCTCTGACTCTGACTCTCCTGCCCGTTTTCGCTCATAAGAACCCACCAAATAACTCAGGATAATCTCCCCGTCTCAAGAGCCTTAACTTATTCCCTCCACAGCTGCGATTATTTTGTTTGTCACATAAAGTAATATATTCACAGGTTCCAGGGATTAGGACATGGACATATTTGGGGGCAACATTCTTCCACCTTCCACACAACCTATAATTCTTTAAACCCATTTCACTAACCCTCAAAACAATCCTATGAGGTTAGTATTCTTATTATACCCATATAAGGATACCTGAGTTGAAGAGAAGTTAAATGACTTGCCCAAAGACACACAGCTACTTAAGTGGCAGTGTTTGAACTTGAGCCTAACCTGGCTGGTTCCAGAGGCACTGCTTCTAACCACTACACTCTACTGCAGTTTGGTAAAGAATCCAGTGAAGAAACGCCTTCAGAAAATTAATGAGTAGCCACGTCCCAGGGAAGGATTTTATTGCCTACTCCTTTCATCTTTATGAGAAAATGTCCAAATTGAGCTTTTAAAACACCGATGCAGGTACTAGGGAAGGTGCCCAATAAATGGGTGTATGGTCTTTCATTCTAGCAAGGTTCCTCATAGCATTCATTCACTAATTTGACAAGCATTTACTGCATATCTGCTATATGCCTTGACTTATAGTCTATACCTGTTTTCATCACTACGAATATTACCGTTGACATTATTGATGTTAGGTACACTCTTACTTGTCTAATTTCCTATACCCAAAGTGTTTTTACAATCATCTGTTTTATCCTTTATCTAGACAATGAGGCTAAAGTGCAGAGGAAAACAAATGCCCTGGATCAAATACCAAAGAAGAAAGAGGATTAAAATGAGAACTCAGTCCTCAAATAATAGCTGCATTAATTGAGCATTATCCTAGATGCTTTGCACACATTATACCTCACCCTCACAACAACTCTATAGGATTGGGATCTTCAAACTTGTATTCACATAACCCCTAGAAGAATTTTGAGAAGCTATGTACTCCCTCACATATTTTTAGGTTGACATCTAAATTTTTCATCATGTTTAAATAGTTGCAAAAGGTACAATATCCAGTATACTATACATATTGACAACTTAAAATAAAACTTTTATATTATGCTTTTAAAGATTTTCATTGGATGATAAATACCAGAGCAATTTGATGCCCACTATCAAACATTAAACACAAAAGTGTAAACTTTCCTTTAACCTTCAGAAAATTTGCATTGTTTCTTTCTTCTCCTTGAAATCAAATATCCATTGCATTCTCCCCATAGAATTGTATTCCATCATAATATATTTTTATACTTGAAAGTCTTCTATTGATCACCATATTGAATTTCTCTACAACAAAGATTTGTCCATAAATAGAAATTGAATTATTTTTATTTCTTTGTGATCATAGCCTCCAAGTATAAAAAATCTTCTAGATTCAGTTACAATTGCAATTGTTACGCAAACACAATAGATAAAAACAGCATGAAACTCTTATATATTGTGATTATTATTTTTTTCAGATCTCATAAACTTTATTTGTAACAACATGCCTCAAATAGCCATTACACAATCAGGGTAACCTGAGATCCAACATCAAGGTCATAAACCATCCTATCAATATGAACCATGTAATAGGATTGTGCTGCTATCCCTAGGATATCTTGTTCCACGGATCAAAGATTTGAGTCAATTAATGATATTATTTGACTGGTATAAGTCTAAGTGTGGTCATTCAGAGGTTTTTCTCTTTTTATGTTTTTATGTAAATTCCAGTTAGTTAACATACAGTATAATATTAGTTTCAGGTATACAATATGGTGATTCAAAATGTCCATACAACACCCAGTGCTCATCACAAGTGTACTCCTTAATCCCTATCACCTATTTAATCCATCCCCCGACCCATCTCCCCTCTGATAACCATCAGTTTGTTCTCTCTAATTAAGAGTTCATTTCTTGGTTTGCCTCTCTCTTTTTTTTTCCTTTTGCTTGGTTGTTTTGTTTCTTAAATTCCACATATGAGTGAAATCCTATGGTACTTATCATTATTAAACTTAAAACATAAACTTTATTGGAAATGCAGCTCTTAGTGAGATGGATGGGGAAGGGGTAGCACAGGACCTTGACTTAAAGAAAATTCCTGGACATCAATTTTCGAAATTGTTGCCTTGCTTAGCACCAAGGGTTTTTACACCCTGAGTCAATGTACCTTAGTAAGATTTTTGACCTTTGAAAGGTATGCTTTCATTTTTAGAGACTTGGAAAGGGAAGTAGGAAAGGCAAAGAGAAGATGAGAGAAGGCAAATAAGTTTTTTTTGGAAGTAGTACTAAAGAAAGTTGAGGATTTGGAAATTGGTCCCCTTTCAGCTTTATTCATAATTATCAAAACCTAGGAAGGAACCAAGATGTCTTTCTGTAGGTAAATGTATAAATAAATATGCTGTGGTACATCCGTACAATGGAATATCATTCAGTGCTAATAAGATAGGAGCTATCAAGACAAGAAAAGACATGGAGGAAACTTAAATGCCTATTAGTGAAATAAACCAATCTGAAAAGGCTACCTACTTTATGATGCCAACATTATGACATTCTGGAAAAAGCAAAACTATGAAAACAGTAAAAAGACGGGTTGTGCTAGAGGGTATGGAAAGGAGGGAGAGAAATGAATTGGTGGAGTAAAACAGGATTTTTAGGGCAGTGAAAATACTATGTATGATGCTACAATGGTGGATACATATCATTATACATTTGTACAGCACCAAGAGTGAACCCTAATGTAAACTGTGGACTTTGGGTAATTATGATGTGTCAGTGTAGGTTCATTAACTGTAACAAATGTGCCACTCTGGTGGGAGATGTTGATAACAAGGGAAGCTGTGCATGTGGGGGGGGTGGAGGGTATATGGGAAATCTCTGTACCTCCCTCTCAATTTTGCTGTGACCTTAAAATTGATCTAAAAATAAAGTTTTTAAAAAATGTTGGGGGAAACAAATCCCATTTCCCCTATTTCCTGTATGTAAA